TTGGGGCCCATCCGTTGGTGGAAAGTAGGCCATGTAGACATGATTATTTCAGCTTATCGCCGTAGCAATCGATCTTTGACTCTCTATCTTCTTCTTAGGCTCATAAAGTACATCGTGCGGAAGGAGCAGATGTGATTGATTTGAGAGGGACGGGCAGGTAGCGGCGGAGTGCACAACAAGATCTCACAGGCATATTGTTCAAAAAGGTACAGCTTGAGGTTGAATAGACAGCGGTGTGAGCGATGATCGAGAGGAGCCCAGAGCGAATGAGTTGCGAGTCCTCGACCGTCGAGGCCGAGTGGTGGCTAAAGTAGGGCCGAGGCCAAGCGACAGGGCTTACGAACCGGAATGGCCGTTTGGCCCTCAATAGTAATTGCCCCTAGCTATGCAATGAGACAATTGCGCTCAAGCTGAGCAAAAAGATGTCGCCACCCGAACAGTACGGTGACGTTGCATGAAGGGTACTCCAAGCTCTTCCTAGATTAGGTGACGACGGAGTCAAAGCGGGAGACCGACAGACTAGACCGACCGACAGCTCACTCCTCTCGGAGCGGCACTGCATTCCTAAGGAGGTCGAACGACAAGACAAGACGAACCTACTAGGCAAGGGCACATGTGGTTGGGGGTAATCACGTTAGGTGGTGAAATCACAGTCGGTGAGAAAACTGTGGTAGGCAAAGTCACCGTTGTCAGACCAACAATGGTTAGGAGATAACCGTGATCAATAGTGTGGTCAATGACACAACTACGGTCCCAGTCAACAAGGGCAACCACAGTCCACTAGACCAAGTGTGGTAGGTGGGATTACCTTGGTCAAGTGTCAATCACGCTAGGCGGGATGAACCGCAGTTGGCAGGTGTAACCACGGTTGACAAGCGCATGCATGATCGACGGTGATGGTGCATGATCTATGGTACATTAATGATTATGAGCGACTGTATGTTGCGGACAACGTTCACGGACAACATTTATTGCGGGTGACAGTAAGTTGTGGGCAACGGACTCGGTAAGTCGCGGGCGACAATGAGTTGCGGGCAAAGTAAGTCGCGGGCAACTACGAGTCGTGGATGCGATCAGAAAGTTGATTGAGATTTCTTAACACAAGTTAATGGGGAGATTGTTAGTTACCTCTATATGTTATTACTCTATCATGTTATGGCTACGGCTTAGTTCTAGTAAACTCTTGTTTAAAGAGATACCTTGTGTTAGGTTTCTGTCTAAAACTTGCTGCGGATTAGATTAGAAAGGTATGGAGTTTCCTTTAACATGAGTTAAGGGGGAGATTGTTGAGGTTAACTCATGTTAAAGGAGTAATTTCAGGTCCTATATTTAGCTGGTACGTTCGTCTACACGAGGGTTAAATACTCGGCTTCTGTTGTACATTGTGTAAGTCTTGTGAGTAAAAGTGTAGCGTGTTCTCGGTGAACGTAGCCCGTTGAAGGCGGGCTACGTCCACCGAAAGCGTGAATCACGTTACATATTGTCTCGCATGTTTTTTGTTACTTGTGTGTTTTGATGTTACACAAACAAAGTCATTCGACAATGTTTTCTTTAGTTCCTTCTTGATCATTTGTACATTTAGTGAACTAGAGCCGGATGTCTCCATCTCAATAGAATAATTGCAGATAAATCTCAAGAGTCGGTGTCAAGAAGATTCACAAGTATTTTTGAAATATATATCGTCAATCAATGTTGAATGCCACAAATGATACTGTGATCCAACCTATTGATACCGTAATGTCACGCTCAAATTTATCACCCGCCAGTAATATCATCATCACATGCTGTTGCTGAAATGGAAAATTCACCCAATGCTTAGTAGTGAAAATTTTGCATGTAACTATAAGCAACAATTATAAGAGCTCAAGTGTTTCAGATGATACTACACAGCTCAAAAATAATAAATTACTCATTACTCAAGTTACTCATTCTTATTTTCTATATTTCATAAAATTTGTTATTTTGCTCCGGCCAAAAGAAATATGTCAGGATAAAATCTAAGAAGCATTAAGTTTGATGCAAAGTGAAATGAAATTTGGAAGATTATGCACCAACTCTTGGGCATAGGATGCAGTCACGTCTCGATACAAATGGAATTGACAGTAGGAAACTTTGTTAGGGCATAAAAATCTTTGAGAGATCAAGAGTAAAAATTGAAAGATGAATCAAGGAAATATTTTATTGAACATTACTCCGGTTAAGGCCAATTAGATGAGCGAGCAAATTTCAGCAAAGAATTCTAGTCACACTCCTTGCATCTTTGTATGAAAAAAAATTTCAAACTTTGAACAAACTGGAATGAGGAAAGGAATAATGATACGCTCAATTTTTTTAAGTAAATGATGCTCAAAAAGAGCTTTTGAACCTTTGTCAATATAAAGTGAATCAATTGTGGTTCTTGAACCTTTTGTAAAGTGATCGCGTCGGTTGAACCTTCTGTAACACGAGCTTTTGAAATATGGATATTCAGATTGATCTTGGAAATTTAAATGATAACTTATGCTCATTGTGATTAGAATTTTTAGAGTCACAAATTGATGATGTGCATTATATATTAGATTGTTTTAACTATGAGCAATGGTAACATGTAAATTTTTACATTGCTCATATGTCCAATGAATGTGCAATAAAAAAATTAAAAATGTATTTTCAAATATATCAAAATTATCAAAAATATAGTGTTTTTGTGTATTTAACAATATTAAGATATGTTGATGTCGATTATTACAAGATATGAACAAGAATGAATTTAAAGATTTTTGTACACTTGAAAGTGAATTTATGAATTGAATTTTTATTATGTAGAATTGCATAGTTCAATGAATTACAAAAGTTAATATGTAATGAAAACTAAAATATCCATTTGGTTGAATAGACCTAATAATTGAGATGGAATTGAAAAAATATATTGTCTATCATCATTGTCATAAGTGAAATGCATTACATCTTGCATCAAAGTAAATGATTGAAAGGAAAATTTAAAAAAATTGATAAAAATGTTGAGTTAATCAAAATTGATATTTTAAAGATTTTTTAGTATGTATAACTTAATGAATTCATTTGAAGAGAAAATATAGAACATATTAAAAATTATAAGAAACTACATAATTTTATTTCATCACGTGTTTCATCTATGACTTGGTACTAGTTAACTATATTTTATAGATAAATATAGGTCAAGTTTACTTCTAATATTTTGAGCAGAGTACCCATGTTGGTGTTAAAATACATAGATATCAAGACATGAATTAATCAGGAGATGGGTAGCGTCAACTCAAGTTAGTTAGAGTAACTTTGATTAGTTGGACTAGAGTATACTAGATGGTCTAGTTCTCAATAAACACATGTTTTGGAATTTTCAATGAGGTAATTGTGCTCCATAGATATAATCTTTGTAGAAATGAACGACCTGTGTTTACGTGGACCGCTTTCACTGATTATTTTTGTGTGAAATTCTTGATTTGTTTCCAAAAAAATATAGAAGTGAATTCGTTATTTAAAAGAAACTTCTTTAATTGATTTCAATCCTTGAAGTGCTGGGGACGAATCTTCTCCTCGTGTGTAATTGTCAAGAATAAGATAGGCTTCTGTAGATTACATGTTCAAAGTTATACTAGACATATCAGATCATTTACAACATGTTTCAAATGTAATATGTAAGTTGTATATAGCTATTTCTTATTCAAATACTCAAACTATTACAGCACCTTAATTGATGATTGAACATCCCCAAACAGTAAACATTAATGTAATTATTCTAACTGGTGTATCTGAGCGTAGAGTACACCGCTCAAGAATGTCTGAAACAGAAGACTGGTAAATCTCAGAAGGTGGAATACGGTCGAGTTTGACTGAATCAACAATCTGTATAATATCTGGCGTTAATACAATCAAATTACACCGAGCAATGAGAAAAGTGGGAAAACAAGGAAAATTATAGCTCGCAAAACTTGACTACAACAGTTTCTATTTGTACAAAAGAGATAATTGGTTATTCGACTGCCACCACGATTTGAGCGGGGTTCATTTCAACATTTTCCCGCTGAAGATACTCGAAACAGGTCTGCGTACTTCACTTCAAGCGGTTAAACGTGCAATACTATTAGTGCTATTTTCACAGTTTTAAACTTTACTGGAGAGTAAAGTTATTTGTAAAGTTTTATTTTTTTAACAATAAACATCTAGTACGCTTAGTTCTTTATCTTGTTTGAGTCTTCACCCCTATTTGTACATGAGGTAAAAGTAATTAAAGTCCTAATGTCAATAAAGCTAGGCTACCACAAATTGAGAAATAATAATATGGTTTATGAGCAAACGTAATAATAGTTAGACTCCTAGCTTGATTCACTCTATAAAAATTTCTTGGAAATCTCAATTTACTACGTATGTCCCCGCAAATAGGTACAGACAGCGTTCCTTATATCTTCATCCCTTGCGTCAAGGGACTAACGAAATCACCCTTCAAAACCAGGAAACACATTGTTGGTTTGCAGAAACGGACGAGTCTCGTAAAACACCCGTACTTTAATATACACGGATGACTCATTCCAGAAACTAGGAACAAAAAATTGAAAAATTGCGATATGAAGATCCTTCAGTATTTGCCACTTTATTGAGATGATGTGTGAACTACCCAATTCACTGTTTAAAACAGATGTGTGGGCTGACATCCAATTGTTGTTTGTCTGAGGTCAATGTACAGTTATATGTCAGAAAGAGAGGAAACCATCTAGCATATTTCACCTGTTCCGACTCCTGACATATAGCACCTTCGATCTGGAAGCTACCACGCAGGGAGTGATATTCTATCAAGGAAAATAAGTATGCGAGCCTCCTACTCATTGTTTGGAAATATATCTCAGTTCCAGGAATGAGACTGACAATTTGGACAGACACCCAAAAAAAAGTTTGTCAACAACTCAGGACTTCTTAACCAATCATTCAGCTCAAGTGACAGTAGACCACGTCAGGATGCTGAGTCCACATCCTACATGAGATTTATCACGTAGAATACTACCGTGTCAACTATTATATAGGTTTGAAGGAAATAATCTTTAAACAGGTGAAGATTCCAAAGACTACTTAATTTAATCACACCATTTACAACCTAGCATCTTGATTGCCAAGGACCAAAAGTCAGTATGTTCCGCTACCTTTTCCTGGTCATCGCAGTCTTCAATACTGATTTCAAACCTCGTGATTAAAATCGCACAAGGAGACTCACTAAAGTGAATCGATAATAATAATCTCACAACAAACTCTGCACACGTCTGCCTGTCCGCTTGAACACACCCTTTCCGATTAGTCATGCTGCGATGTGGAAGCATATGTGCGCTAAGCTTAGACTAACGAAGTTCTAGGAGTACTCTTATAATGTACAATGTCAAGCTATCAATAACAATCACGAGGAAGCAGTGACACAGAAACTCTGGATGACACATCATAAAATTATGTACCTGACTCGTTATGCATGCATCTCAATTTAGTGGGCAAAAATTGCCCGTGTGAATTCCTACAATGGGTTAATGGAGCCGTTCGATGGAAGAGTTTCGTTAGAAGATGTTGACTCTCCTTCAAAGTTGTCAAGAGAAATCTGCAGATGGAAAATTTGAATGATAATGAGAAAAGCCAAATAAAAATAGAAAGAACAAGGATCAACTCCAAGTCCTGACACTTCTAGACTCAGCTTCTACCTCCTCCGTGCATATGCAACCATTCAGTGTACTTCACTCAAATATTCGCATCGTCGTCAAAAATAGGGTTTAACCTAAAATGCCAACAATGTTAAACCGAACGGGATATTTACGTGCGGTATAAATGAGTGATGATGAAGAAGAGTTTTTTACAACAAAAGCAGAGTTTTCATGAAGTGCATACAAAAAGAATATCTTCGTCTGTGCCAAACGATTTTCGGGCTTCCTCAAGCGCATCTAATGAGATCCTTCCGCTCCCACTGCAGGTAGAAGTTTCACGAAGAATAACTGAGGTTAAGTTCCCACGCTTTCTGTAGACAAGTAATGACAGGCTAATTTGAACTGAAGTCAAATGAGATACCCGTAAGATCTCAGATGGATTATTCATTACCTGCTGCTGGCAGGATCTCTGATTTCAAATTCATCCGTGTCAATGTCGTAACCACAAATCACCACATAGTGTCCTGCGCAAAGAAGAAATCATCCTTCATACATGCTTGAGATACAAGAAGAGTAACTTAGCCTACGAAGCGCATGACTGTGATCTGCAGCGAGTGTAGTAATTGAATGCCTGACGTTGAAGACATTAACTATCACTTACACAAGACATGGACATGTTCTAAACTTGATAACACGTATTTTCACACTTGTAATTGCTCCACACATCATGAATGAGAACGATACGGGATATACTTGTACCTGTATATCCCGTATTCAGCCCACAGCAATCTCCGAGACAAATTTCATCAAGCCATGGATGACTGCATGATACAACAGCAGATTGGAGATCAATTTCGTCATCCGAGGTGGAAAAGCGTTTTGAGAAGTGCCTAACCAGAAAATAAAAACCATTGCAAATATGGCGCCTTAATCCTCTCCACAATATCTGAAGGAAAAAGGCGTCTCGAAATTTCACAGGTAGTAAACCATATTAAGAAAGTCTCACAGATCTATCCTGATGCCGTTGAGCTATGTGTGCAAAATGAGAAATGGACATATCAGTTAATTTTGAAGATTTTATTGTTGCTTTGATCTTTAAGAAGATTAGAATTATGGAACATCATACTTCAATAGAACGTAAATGCCGAGTACAAGTGTCTCGATTATACCTCAACTTGCGCTTGTCAACCAATGCTATTGCTAAATATCTTCCTGACAAGATCAGCATGCAGAGCTCATCGCCGCTTATTGACCTCAACTGTAACACGTCATGAACCTCAGTCAGAAAACACTCTTTTTTTTGGGGAAGTTCCGAAACTCAGTGCGATGCTTTGAAACATTTTCATCGTTATTATCGCACGGCGCGTCTTAACATAGCACATTTTATTAATTTCAGTTACGTCTCCAGGTTCTAGCGTGCAAATATGAACGAGTAACCTTAAGGTAATTGAAGGCAGAAATCTTCACAGATACAGAACCTCTGAAGATAGAAAAGCTTTTCAACGTAAGGCAGGCTGTACCTGTATTTGGATACCAACTTGCGCGGCCTTTTCGAACAATTTAGTTACTCTTCTTCCATCTTCTTCCATATTTTCCTGAATGAAAAATCTAATACCACCGTCACGCGCTGCATCTGAAGCCACTTCAAAACTAAGCCAAAAAATCATGGAAAATCGGAGGTTTCCCAGGGATGAGATAGGAAAAACGCTATGTGTAAGGTCAACTATCAGGTCATTAAAGAAAAACTGAGCCAGGAATTCGTTGATGAAAACATCTACGAACCTTGTAAAACGTCTCAACGGCAAAACTAGGATTCGCTCCGATAGTGACAGTGAGAAAGGCCACGTTTACTGCAAAGTGACGTAACAGATGAGCTAGATCCACAGTCCAAATGCTGCACAAAATTAGGAACCTAGTCAGTAACAACAGAACAATACCCTCACGTCATACTCCCAGAACAACACAAAGTTTATATTGTTGTAGAAAGTGAAGGAGAACATGCGTTGCGGGACCGAGACATGGAAACTTCATGCCACATCAAAACCGATACTCCGATACTTCTAAGTCGACCTTCTCGGATATCGAACAACTCAACTTGTCGGTATGTATCAGGAACCTAAAGCTCATTTTGAAAGAAAGGGTACAAATGATATGTATTGAAATGCCTACAGCGTAGTTATCTATTTATTTAGCAGATCTACAGGCTCTAGCTCCCACTGTTAACTGTCTAGTCATCGTGAAGAGACTGACTTAGACTAAGATGTACTTCATGTAGAAATTTTGAGTTAGCAACCCATAATATCGTCAGAGCTGCAGGCCAATTAAGGATTGTAAAAGAGAAAGAAGGTGTCGTACGTATCAGAAAGCCTCACATATTTCTAAGGCCAGATAAGTGCCGTTGTTTATATGGACGCAAATAAGGCTCCGCATGTACAACCACGACTATTGACACAAGCAAAACGTGCTAAAATTCATCAAAACTAATGAATAGAGTAAAAAAGGTCAAGGGCTCATATGCAGAACCAAGTCGAAACTACACCTGGTGGTATGACAAAGACTGCTCAAGGACTTTAAATCGTGACCATCAACTCTCAAAGCTCTCAGGACCATCAGCACACATGCCAGTCCACAATCCCAATCGCACATCTGTCGCACGTGGGGAACCTGCATAACGCATAACAAACTTGATTAACCTCAAGAGATCAACAATGTTCTGAGCATTGATGCGTCGAGACTAAAGATCGGAAAAGTCAGATCTCGCATCGCTTACTTGAATGTAGTGGGAGCGAGGCAAGGGCACGCTGTAATCAATCAACGGAGATGGCGAGGAGTTCCAGGCGTTGCAGTCAAGTAAGGAAGCGGCAACCCATCCGTTACTCATTTTCTTGTCACAATTGCACCAGATTGATTTGTTGCAGGATGAAGGGCGAGGCAGTATGGGATGTAAAGGCCGACCCGCCGCCACCAATGTTACCATTTCCTGAAGTACAGAATTCATAGTAGAATTCTGGCCACTCCAAATCTATTATCAGTTTCAAAACCCTCTTTCCTGAATCTCTAAGTAGATTGAACTTCACGAGGTGTGCTGTCCAGTAAATGATTTTATGAAACACTCCAGCATCTGCAGTCGCTTTTCAAACCAGCTCTAAAATACTCGCCACTGCCAGGCCATCAGGCCTCCCGATTACCATCGTCTGTTGCCTTTGTGGCCCTTTCTTCCTCGCTCGGATAAGTACCTTGCTCCATCATCCATGTTTTGAAGTAAAACTGCCATCCTCTTCCCCTCCCGGCTCCCAAAAGTAGCAGTGAAGAATCATGAAGAAGACCCCAAGATGCCTGCAGATTGTATCAAACGCATCCGAGAAAGTAAGAAAAAAATTACGTTGAAAAGAAACCATTCCACATGCTCGACCATGCTCGACCCGTAAGGCATAATGCCTTATGGAAGCGTCTATTGCAGTGTAAGCAATTTCACACCTCTACATCAGAACTGCGACAAAGACTGAAGAGGGACTAGAACCGCAAAATCAACCAAATCTGCACTTGAGATCTGTTAATGTCAGCGACAATCATTGAAGATCGGCGTACAGATTTTCACACGTAAAGAATGTCACACAACTTCACATAGTTACCGCATAGAGGGTCCACAGTTAGAGACTGCCTAACGGCTGAACTGTCTGACCGAAAGGGCCAGACGGTGAGTTTGCCCACGAGCTGCGTCAACATGTGTACTCATGAACAAAATAACAAATTACGTTCCGGAATCATGAATTAGTGTTTCCCTTAAACAGGTTACTGAAATATACGTAAACAAAATTCAGCTGGAGCTCAACGATGAAGAACAACTAAGAGCGTCGTCACTCCCTGCTCCCAAGAAAGAGCGAAAATTCGAAATTGTAAGCGACCGCAGCTCTGACATGCCTACAGAGTTGAGCAGTTCATTCACCATCCTTCAAGAGGAACTAGGCAGCACACCAGATGGAGATGACAAGCGAACGTCTATCTAGTCTTCAATTTCCAGACAACACTTCTCCAGAAGATAATCCTCTAGCATTATGAGAAAGCGTTTACATTCAAGTGCAACTGGATCCAGACAATTTTTGCGGACTAAACTCGACACTAACAGAGAAAAACGAAAATCGTTCAAATGCCTGCTGGTCCCACCGTCTCAAACAGAAGAACAATTGTGCAGGGGAATGGGCAGGCAATCGAGTCTCCCATTGCGGAAATATACAGCTAGAATGACCGGATTGAACGTCGTTACCACTGTTACGTCTGATTTGCACCAAAGGTCACGAAAGCTCGATCCAGGTGAACAAAGTCATCCCGACATACGAATGACCGGCAGACCAATTGTAAACACCCGGCACTCTCCCACCGGAGAGCCTGAACGGAGTCGCTCCATGATATCCAAAGAAGAGAGTTAGGAAAAAATCGCGCACATTGACCAAGAAAAGCATAGAGCACATTCTACGAGCTAAAATCGAGATACTCCGACTTAAATTATAAGATCTCCCTTGGCCTCGGTGACGAACGCTTACACTTCCGCACGAACGCCATTGTCCGAAGCTCCGAGGGCCGCCAGGAAGGGCGCAATTGACAACGGGGGCGAAGGGAGCGATCGGGCCGACGAGGATTGAGGCAGATTCTGCAGATGGATCCCTCAAGCTCCTCCTCCTCCTCCTCCTCCCCTGAGGCTCTGGAAATTGGCCGGGCTCTCGACAAGCGCTCCGTCTCCGCTCCGGAGTCCAGTCATGGCCCGAGAGCAGGCGCTCCTCTTCTTGTCTACGGCCATCATCACCGGCTCCACCGGCAGCTTGGCGTCGACAGCCGGTAGAGCAGAACCCCGTGACTTGCGCGTGGCTCCATGTAACTGATTTGCACGCGAGGCAAGAGTTGCTGGACCGTTAGCGTAGACCGTAGAGCCCTGGAGGGCCCGAACGTTTCCGGCCACGCGGGCTCCACTACGGAATGGGATAAGGGGACGCGAGGGATGCGCCTCTTTTGCTAATTTTAACTCTTTGCGTCACGGGAAGTAGGACGTCCATCACCTTCGCCGCTGGCCATGACCGGTTTCTCCACAACACTTTCTCCGACCGATCCGGTCACCGAGTAGTCCTTGTCAGGGAGTTTCTGGGATCTCTCCGGCGGCGGACCTCGGATCCAGGACCCTGCGCCTGTTCTCCCCCGCGGGCACGGTCGGGTCGCCCCAAGCCTCTTCCTGCTCGACGCGGTCGACGAAGTACTCATTCGTTCTGGAATTGGGCCCTTCCGTACGATACCATCGCTGTCGAGAAGCTCAATCCGTTCTTACGGCACGACCTCGTTCTCTGTAATTTATCCCCTTATGTTGGATTACACCTCAGCGGTGTAATGGAGACCATACTGCGACCTTGCAGCTTTAGCTAACATGGTGATTTTTCGAAGTGAATCATTGAGTTCTACACGCTAGGTTTGATGGCTCGTGTTCGTGTCCGCGTATAATTCATCTTCAGTGCATCCATTTCCATTCGATTGAATCGGAATGAGCGCAATTCCATCTTAAGGATTTTCACTCTCGCACCTCCACGCCTACCTCCATTCGCTCTCATAGAAACGTAATTTCTTAATTACAGGCGGTGGGGTGTGAGAACAACCCCACCGCCTCCACCGGTAGCGTATTTGATGGCGGATGTACAGCGCAAGAGGACTCTTCGGGCGCTCCCTTCGGCGCTAAGAACTCTTCTCCTCTTGCGAGAATAGTGACTCAACCTTTCGATCTACACTGCATGGGATCAAACACCTCTTGTATTCCTCAAGTCTTCTGGTTGATTCTCTAGAAACGATGGCGGATGTACAGCACAAGGGGACTCTTCGGGCGCTCCCTTCGGCGCTAAGATCTCTTCTCTTCTTGCGAGAATAGTGACTCAACCTTTCGATCTACACTGCATGGGATCAAACACCTCTTGTATTCCCCAAGTCTTCTGGTTGATTCTCTAGAAACGACATGAAAACTCAAACCTAGATAGATAAATACGGTACTTAACATTACGCTATTAGGCCTATAATAAAGCGTGAGAGTTTTTGTTTTTGGATTATCGGAAGAAAAAGTAGTTATGTGTTGATAGATCTTAGTTTGCCCATTTTCTATTCTCAATCCCACACTTTACTATGAGATTTGTCATGGAAGCTATAGGAATATCTTCAAGGTTGCATCTATTGATGTTTTTGGATGCTTCAGGAGGTGCAGACTGGAACTCTAGTCGTAAATCTGGTGTTCGGGATTAAGTTTCTTTGTAACAGAGAGATTTTACCAGGAGTAGCATTTAATGTGGTCGACATTGGATGGAACTCCGCCTCATGAGCTGAGTCTCTTGCCGGAAGCAAGTTCCGCACTCGCTCGATGAGCTACTGGTGACTTGCTAAAGTATTATCGCAACCGGTGGGCATTGGGGACTATTACGTACAAAAGCTCAGGATGATATCGATCTAACATATGAAGGATGTGGATGCTTCTCACGGGACCTGTTGATATTTGATCTCTCTCTTGGGAGGTCTCCTCTGCTGCAGGAGGGGACAAATAGGCACGAGGTTGCTCTGTTGGTCTGGCATCGTGTTTCACCCTCGGCGCAAGTGCTGTGCCGCATCACAACAGTCAATCGCTGGATGGAATATAGTGGAGCTTTTCTGAAAGATGATGCCAAAAAGTTACTGAGGTGGTGGAAAGGTTCGAGTTGTAACGTTCAGATGATCGGTGCCCAGGACATTCCGTCTGTTGTTTCCAGGCTTTACCACGAGGTTGCGGAAGGTACAAACTCGAACCTTTTCATCGACTTCAACCAGAAAGTGGAAAATCAGATCATCCGCTGGACATGTCAAGGAATTTGTTCTTCGCATGTGCAGATAGGCTCCTTCGTCGTCGCGCGAGAGTTTCAGAAAGTCAAATATACTCTCTTTGACTTGAAGATAGAAATTCGTTCCGCTGAAGGAATGTGCACAATCCCCAGAGGCATCGAATCCCCAGAAGCATCGATGTTGAAAGAGCCAATTATATGACGTGAGACTCTGAAGACACGAGATGGCGAACCATGAACTAAAATGCTAGACATGGAAACTGCAGTCCAGCTGAAAAGTCGTCAGGTTCGTGCAGTAATCATTAAGAGTAATCTATCCAGGTAAATCATCCTCCTCTTCTTTGAAGCGTAACCTCGGTGCAGAGTGGAGCCGAGCATAATTTAAATGTCTGAGAAATTGAACGTTATGGTTTCTACTGCTACAAGTATGCGAGGACTTAGGGTTAGGGCGTGCTCTGTATACGAAAGGGTGTCTAAGACAATCTTAATTTGACGTAGGGAGGTGCAATTGCTCCGACTACATCCTATTGTAGAATGATGGGGATGATAATTTGCAGAGTCCAGCTTGCTTGTGGTACGGAGAACGGAGCTGCTTTCTCTGCCTGGGAATCGCGACTGACATATTCCCAAGGCTGGTTGGCGTGAATGATGTGTGGGCACCTTTCAGAAAGTTGAAGGAGGTTCTTTCCCGACCTTTATATCATTGTTCACCGTTACTCTTCCACATTACTCGGATTAGAATGGAGCCGCTCTATGAATTTTGGAAGTGTTGCAATCGGCCATGCTTTTCCCCCGAACGGTGTTATGGGTGGGGTTACGGCAGGAAGTGTGCTACCGATTCTGTCATGGGCATTCGAGTGGCGACGACTGATTGATCGATTCTTCGCATCTTTTGAAGAAGAGATCCAAGACGTTTCTCCTCTAGAGCGACGGAGAGGAGCAATAAGGTGGGCATCGTCAAGGATTTGAAGCGCATTCGGCGGCAATGGACTTCAGCGCCTCGGCACTCGATATCGAGGAGCTCGTAGCGGCGTTTGCCGAGATGGAAGGGACGGAATTGGACCAGATGAAAGAGCTGTGGAGAAGTCGGAACTTCTCGTTCATCCATGAAGCGCGGCCCAAGGACATAATTCCCTCGTTCTACGCACAGGCGCTGTTCTCGTCCGCCTTGAGCCATGTGGTGGCGGAGGACGCATCCCTATCGTGGAAGCTCGGAGGCCTGTACGTGCTGTACATTCTGCACGAGACGCAAGCCTTGGAAGAGCGGTACAAGATCTATCTGGCGCTGGAGGAACTGGAGGCGCTGATCAGCCTGGTGAGGCTGATCAAGCAGCGGCGCCTCGCCGTGGCCTTCAAGGTGGTGCAGAGGATGTTCGACGAGCAGATGTTCTTGTTCGGGTCCGTGTCCGCCAACCAGAAGCGCATCGCCTCGTGCATGGACAAGGTCGCGCATCAGGCCGCGCTGAGCGTGCAGCAGGCGCGCTCGCGGCTGCTGGCCAACGTGCCAGCGCGCGAGCACGTGGAAGGCCAATTGGTGCAGGACTTGGAATTGGACGCGCTGGCGCCACTGACCAGCGACTACGCTGCCGCGCGGAACCGCGCTCTGCGCCTCGCGGGAGACTCGAATCGACCGGCGGGCGAGGACGATGCGAACGAGGTCCGCGACGCGCTGCGAGAAGCGCAGGCCTGGGATGTGCAGAAGTCGGGCATTCTGACCTCGGCCGCCGAGTCCAGCTCCAAGCGCCCTCTGCCCACGGCCTTCCGCCGGCCCCCCGCTCCCAAGCAGGCCCGCCGGGGCCGCAAAACCATCGAGGAGTACGAGCGGGAGCTGCGCCAGCATCGGGAAGCCCACCGCACCGAGGGCCCTGACGCAGAGTACGAGAAAGAGCTCGAGGAGGAACTCGACCGCGCTCTTGGTCTGGACTGACTGACGCTCAGGATTGCAGACCAGCTCTCAGCTTCTGCAATCTCTGCCGGGCGCGTCGAGCATACACATTTTCGATTCTTCTGACGTTTGCCTCCGACGTCCTGAAGTTCTAATTGGTGACCACGACATTCTCGTCCTGGTCATGGCTTCGTAGCGAACGCGACATTTTGCATTCAGTATTGGTACCTGCCTCCCGTGGTACCAATACTGAGGTTTTACCACGGGAGGCAGGAAAACTGAATGCAAAATGGAAGGCCTCCCTCGTGTTGGTGGTATTCTGTAAAACAGTACTCCCGAGTTGATTTTGATGCGAAGCGCGTGTGGTGTTTGACCTTGCTACAGACCGAAGCACGTTCGTTGTGAGCTTGATTGCACGAAAGTCATGACCTTAAAGGTGAAACTTGCACTACGAAATAGGAAGATTTTCGTAGTGCAAGTGTGCGCGTCACATGAAAGCAATGCCTCGGGATGTGCTTGTACGCCGCCGACCTACTTTGCATGGATTGTGAACAGAAATTGTGGACGATGTTGAGTTGTGGAAGACGGAGATTGTGCAGTACGTCGGAGACGTTATAGCCTGAACTACGGAGAAACGAAATGAATTTCATGGTAGCTCGACAGAAACGGCAATGGGGGAAGGAATGATAATCGCTGTCTTCTGCCGGGCTGAAGTTCTGAATGATGGGATCACGAGGTCAGTAGCAACGAAGGTGATAGCAGATGTCTTGTGACCTTAAACTGACACCATTATTGTCAGCTCCATGCAATGACGTGCAGGAGAGCCCTCACCAAATATTCCGAATGTAAATTTCGAGTTTTTTCTATGTGATGTCTTTTGAACGCATGGGACGACGAGGAACTCCATTGTTTCATTGAAAGTCGTACTCTCTTCTGAATTGAGACTGACACGCTGCGACACAAGATGAAAACGTCATATTTTCATCGCTCATGACCAGAAACATGCAGAAACAAGTGAAGACCTATTTGTACAACGGTTAGTCTTTCACCACACTGCTGCTTCAAATTGTTCCCTTCACTTCAGGCTGTGTTTGAATAACAGAGCGCTTGTCGTCTGTCCGAAACGTAAGAAACCAAGCTTTATATGTCGGGTATCTCATGTCGGGGTATTACAGCTAACGTTGGTAAGCTCTGTTAATGTTACTCCAACAAAGACGACATTTTGGTCACTACTGAACACAGTTTAGTTTAGTTGTTAAGTTTGTAGAGAAGCAGAAATCTTACCAAGATTAGCGAGGCTTTCTTCTGGATAACATTCTGGCCATTAAGGCTTCAGGATCTTGTGACAAAACTTTTCTTTTATTATCGTTATCGAAAATTATCGTTACATCCGGTTCCCCACAGAGATAATTTTGTTTGGTATATATCTCTAGTATCGCACCAGATTATACAGTAAAAACAACTTCCCAAGCAAAATTGCAATAGTTTGATCGATTTTGGCTCTAACCGACAAAATCGAACTATATCTACTAGAATATAAATCACGATTTCTGCAAGAGCTTCAAGAAGAGTTTTACCGTACGTTTTTCAAACTCTAAATGACAGAATAGCTTCAGTTGTCGCCACCGGGGAATTGGATTTACTTTTGAAACATGTGTTAATGCACCAGTCAACACTGCCATCTAGACCCCTAGTTTACGATGGAAACACTATGTTGCGACATATGTTTTATGAAGCACCTTAACACGCCAGTGCATACTTATGAGGACTGACGCCCTTAAGTCAACACCAAAGACACAGGCTTCTTACCCTGTGTCGTAAGATACTGGACATGCTGGTAGGTCTTCCCGCTCATTACAAATGTCCTCAACACGAAGTCTTGTGATGAGAAACCACAAGGCCCGCGGCTCCTTTTAACATCTGTTCCCTTGTAAATACAATTGGATGTTTCGCGCGAACCGACACGTTGGTGATATATCCGTACCGATATAGCGCGTAGCACTAATTCAACCAGTCTGCATTTGCGCAAACTAGAAGTCTGTCATTTCCAGATAACATATAGACGGAGAGCTTGAGGCATAATTCCTTTGCATTCCAGACAAGGACTAAGGCCCAGAGGTGAACGTTGTGACGAAGATGTAGAGAATCCACCTGCTTTTTCATGTAATCTATTTGGACATATTAACAACTTTCACATTTTCTCAGCTACTTTATGAAATGCTTCCGCAATCTGACCAAGTACACCGACAAATTTGTCAGCCCGTTCGTCCTCTCGCTCTATTTTCCTAAGCTGAAACTCAAACTTTCTCTTCTCGAGTGCATGCGCGTCTTTGGCCATTTCGTGGGCCTCCTTAGCCCTACCCGAGTTTTCTCTCTCTATGCGCATTATTCTGGATGACAGATCTTGAAAAGCTGCCATTACTCCGGCCAAGCCCTGCGACGCCTTTCGCCGTTTCTTTCCCGAAGAACCTTGGTTCATATCTTCACCCTTCGTAAAGCCTTGGTCATACTTGGTCTTTGCAGCACTGGTCTCACCAGCTTGTGTGGTTTCCTTCTCGTCAACCTCGGCCCCTATGAGGAAAGGGAGGCTGTGGGGTGGAGCCTTGTATGCTCTACCTCCAAGAAATGAATCGAGCAGCTCTCGGGATTTGATGTCAAAATAGCTCGGCAAACTAGCTTGCTTCCTCTCCTGAGGAGAAAGGGACTGAAAAGATCTGTTACCAGGCTTAACATCCCAATCTTTCACAAGCTTGTACTCGGCCACAGTCGCATCCCATCTATTCTTGCAGGCAGACGAATCTCTGTTGACATGTTGTGATTTCATGAACTCCTCGATCTTCTTCCACCTCAGAGCGCTATTCTCTGAGTAGCGATCCCGAGTCGGATTTGCTTCATGCCGCTCCCATTCAACTTTCTTCGCCTGGATAAGAAGATAAACCTCCCATGGCTCCCAATTCTTTGAGCGCTTTCTTCCCAGCCTCAGACCAGGCCCGGGAGATATGTTCATTTCCATGCGCTAACTTGTCCGAGAATCTACCAGAACCTGCTGCTAGCAAGCGCGAAGAAGCCCCTTTCCTGCTAAGGCCTACTCTGCACACAGATGTTCGCCTGCTCAAGACTCGCAGTTCCGGAGGTGCTTCACGCTTGCTACGCGCTTGCGGTAAGTGATTTTTTTCATTACGACCGACCTTCACCTACAGGGAAAGTTGAAACACAGAGCGTAAAGTTAGAACGCATCGTATCGAAACCACTCGTTCATTAGATTTCGAACTCTACCGACGACTGAACCGCAGAGTCGTACCCAACCACCGAAGAAACAAGTCCCGTCAGAGCGAGACGCTGAAAGCTCTACTCCCGCGACGACGTGATTGACTGGTCTCCTGGTATTCAACCTCTCAGCCTTCGGGGAACAGAGCACCGCACGCTCTCTGTTCCCCGAAGCATCCTGACCTGACTTCAGATGCTCTCAACGAGAGCATCTGAGATCTCATCGAGAGCCAAATAATATGGTTCAGGGATAAATTATCCATGCCGTACTTTCATGACGGCAACATCAGATTCGAAACTCGAGCGCTGCCACATTGATCCACTAGCGGCCGACTGCAAAGCAGTGAGCCCTGAGACTCAGGCTCACACGAAGAACCTACGACTACGACTTACCTTGCTATTGAGAGCAAAAAGTCGGTACACAAAAGTGCTGCTACGATTGTCTGGTTCTGCAATATGAACCTGGCCAAAGGAGACGCCCCCAATTACGATAATTTCAGCCACTGAGCCACGATCAAACTATCTGTCGACTTCAGCACGAGAGACGTTTCACGCACGAAAGTACAGCCTCGAACAAGCGGGCGAAGGATGCATTCATGGCATTCATTGTCCTTAGCATCGTCCTGAAAGTGCGCGTAAATTTAGTACCATGAAATTTACGACGATGTGGAAGAATTAGTCTCGATAATCCAGGGTTAGTTTGTTCGAGTTGCAAGCAACCTGCGCTTCAGGATTTCAGCGGAGTCATCGGTGAGTAAAATAACCCTGAAACGGCTGTTTCCTGCAGTGCAGAGTGAAGGAGAATAGATTCTAAAATCGCAGCTAAGTAGCGTCGTATGGCAAGTAATAGAGCCGCAACGTGTAGAGGCAGGCGTTCATTATCATCAACTATTGCTAGCTCTACGGATAGCCATTGGTCCAGCCGGGGAATGGTCACCAGAGCTTCTTATGATTAAATTCAAGCATTGGAGTCAGGATTGATAATCGACCCTTCGTCAGCTTGACAAATTGTTCTTTCGTCAAATCACCAGAACCTTTTAGATTTTGAAGACCCACCTCGACCAAGAACCTACGCACAAGGGTAGACATTTTTGAGCTAACAGATCGACGGAAAAGAAGCGAATCCTCCGATCCAGCGCCCATGACGAAAGTCACTTCGTGATGAAGAAAGCGAGTAGGTTACGATAACGTACCTGCTGACACAAAACCAAATCAAACTCCGTACTCCACCGATATTGATAGCTCAGACAGGAGCTGACGTTTTGGTGATCCCCCGACGACTCCCAAGAGTATCTGCACCTCAGTCAAAAAATCCCACCGATATTCCAAAGCCTTGAAATAGAACATCTGTCCAATTTCTCAAATAAAGCTGGGAAATGCGAGTGAACCCTGGTTTCGACTGTCAAAAATCCATAATCCATTTCCGTCAGGAAAACGCCCACAACCACAACTACTACTGCACCTTGTCACCCTCCTGGCTCTCCTGAATAACTGCAGTGGCGAATCATGCCAACTCCTGCTGCTGCACAAAACCTGCTTCCGAACCGTTCCATCCCACGCTCTGTCTGCCTCGGTTCGGGCCATCACGTTCGATCATTGCGCTTGACAAGAAAGAACCAATCGAGTTCTAACAGATCAGAAAACCCTAAAATTGCAGAATCACTGCCAGCAAGCATGAGTGAAACCATCCAATGTAGCAAACAAGTTGTGTCTGATTCCTTGCGATCCTTCTTTCGGAGCGTATAGCATTGGTCAGTTTGCATGGAGCATAATCACATTTCCGCTCCATATACGTATCCATTCGATCGCAATATTCTTTTAATTGTGCAATCGAATATATCCAGGAGCCAAACAATCGATTGATCCTGTGAGGAGATTCACAGTTTTTCTAGCACCGTTGTCGTGTTCATTCAACAATCTTACCATTTTCTTACCTGCATGTATGCCGGATCGTGCGTCTGAGTTTCTCAAAGGGGCCGGAACGGACATGCGTCATTTTGCAGTACTACAGAGGCGAGAATGACGGTCACGAATAGTCAGTCATTTCAAAAACAAAAATGTGGTGCGGCTCCCACAACGCATCAAAGTAGTCCGCCAGTATATCGAAATATTATTTGCTGATAAACCTTCAATCGAAATAAGATTAAAATCAATAGAAGAATTCAGCACTATATACCATTGATTCCAGTTACTACATGTATGAACAATTTGACGGCCATTGTAAGATTTCATGATCTTTTAAATTTCTGGTTCACTGAACACTGCATTTCAAATCTATGGATTGGCTGAATTTTCATCGACAGATGACATTCAATAAACTTGACTCATTATTTTAATTCAATATAAATGACATTATTCTGCACAAGTCAAAAGTTTCTTCTAAAAACTTCATCTATTATAGTTATGTTGTATTTATAGCGTTCAGTTGTCCAATACGATCCGACGTTTCCTCTATTGAATATTCTTGCACACGCTATTCAATATCATTGTCGCTATGGTATGCTTTTTCATGATGAGTTATGTTGTCTTCAAACCAGACTTTATCATTGAATGACGATAATAAGCTGATATTGCACGATTTGGAATCTCTTTAAGTTTGAAACCACTTCGTGTTTGTGTAATTATTAAATGTATCTTTTGACATGAATTAAATTAGAATGAAATCACTTCATATCCTCAAATTGCAAGCATATATTATCTAAAAAGGAAACTTTGTACTTAACCAATCTAAATCCTGTGAGTAGATATGACATGTTTGAAAATGATTTCTTTCTATATTCCTCTTTAGGATAACATCCTCTCATTTTTTAATAGAAAATTTCAAAGATTTTACATTGGTGCGTTATGGGATTATGAGATGGAAAGATAAAAACTTGCTAACATTGTAACAGGTTATTCTAAAAATCACTTACTTTCATGTTTTTATCAAAAAACTTACTTTAATTACTAACAGAAATAATACAAAATTATCATAAATTTTTGAAAAGATTATTCAAACCTCTGACATTTGAGCTACCAAGATGATGCACAATTTGAAAATCATGTTATTGTGTATCGAATGAACCTTACCATCATACATGCACAATTCTATTCTATATTAGTCTCTATAATTTATTAAAAGAGATTTTTTTTCCAACTATTAGTAAAAGATGAATTACGTTATAAAGATTAATCATTTGATTCATATTTAATGCAATAAACTATTATTTTATATAAAATATGTGATCAATGAGTAGAAATTCTTAATTATTGCTGTTGTATACATTTATGCACATTGATAAATACAAGAAAAATTAAGCATTAATGGAAAAATATGTTCAAGCAAAGATGTTATAAATATACTTGTGCGGAATATATTCTTTTGAAATTTTTGATGTCCATGTTACTGTGAATTTTTGTGTGTAAAACCATGTTTAGAAATTAAAATACAGATCCTAGTCTTAAATAATATAGTTGATATGATATTAATGACAAGTAAAGTTCGCTCTATGAAGAATTTTTTTCCCAACTTCAAGTATTATTTTTTCTCTATAACAAGAAAATTATTGAAATGTATTTTATTGTGAATGATAAAAGCTTACTCAATTGTACAAATCAAAACCATCCACTTCGAACAGTAATTTGACAAAAAAATGAAAAGAGAAAAAGGAGTAGATAGCGTTGAATATGAAGTAATCAAAATGTAGTATCAACAATAAGCAATGTTATTGGTATTGATATTTTATAAGCGAACTTTTGAACGTGATGGTGTTCATATTTAACTACCATTTTTCTTCAATTTACAGCATGTACAATGAACAATGTACCTAATTATTTCAATTGCTATATTTGCAAATGCAGTGAACAATTTATTATTCCAGCTGAAGCGTCAAGTCGTAATCTTCTTAATGTTGCCGATAAGGCACATCTCCTGAATCAGGCCATTTCTCTCTTTTGCTCTTTTTTCTTCTTGAAAAGATCGATGCTGCCCGGTTCTCGGAGAAACTGGGACAGTCCCAGTTTACAGGCCAATTCTATCAGTTCCAAGTTTCTTCAGTCTGGAGAGCAGCGGAGCCTCAACTCTCACAGGGAAAGAATCCTTTGATCGTTTGAGCAGTATGCCTTCATAGTAACGAGATTTGTAACAGACTATAGAGGAATCTATTATTATCTTTTGAACATTTGTATTTTCCCTTAAACCCATAAGCAAGGGACAAGCATTGCACTCCTTTCGAGAGTTTATATTTCTGAAGTTAATAATCGTAAACATAATTTTCTAGGCCTCTTGGCTAAGATTTAGTGTAGTTATCTGTTATTATCAGATCGATATATGATATGAGGGTTACCGACCCTCACGATATGAATGTCGTTTCTTTCACGGGTGTGAGACCGAAGGGCCAACTTGCTGACTCGGCCTTGCGAGCGTCTCTACGGTATTGCATTATCTCCCTGGCAGGCACAGCCCTCCTACTCTTCCGAGAAAACCAATGAATCCAAACAGGAAATGATAAGGAGCGGGAATTCAGTACAATACTTTCAGACATCAAAACGTTCGCATGAGATCATTCCATGTAATGATAGTGTAGATCATGTCGGAGAAGGGGAGGCAAGCAAGGACATGGGTACAAAGACCAACGCTATTTAGACGTATGAGGGCTTCTGGCGTCGAACCAAAGGAGGAGAAATTGCTCACCGAAAAAATAGTTGAGTGGTTAAATCATACAAGAATTTACTGTCATTAGAGAAGCTACGAATTTTACAGAGTAAATTTAATCAAATAAAATTGATATGGCTCAGACATTTCAATGGTAAAAAGCCACGTAATGAAGACTTTGTGATGATCTAGAATTTCTCAGTAGTATCTTTGAGAAAATATGTAAATTTGACGTTGGACTTTATGATTTATGGAGGGATTCACATGCAAACAGGAATAGGCTAAGAATATTGATGAGTTGGCATCTACTCAGGGATATAACACGAGGTAAATTCATCAACCAATTGTAATATCTAGAAAATGATGATCTCTTGATGCTAATAAAATACATTTGTGGGATGAGAAGTATCTTTAAAGAATTATGACTATGCTATGTATCGAATCTTTATTAATAATCTGATAAAAATCTGTAATATACTCTCTGTTTCGTAAAAGTAAGGGATACTAGTACTACTAAATTTGTATAAAACTCCTCCAAGTCTAACACTGATCTTTATGAATATTCCTATATTTGGAGATTTTGGGTTCTGAAAATACATCTAAAAATCAGTTTTACAACTGTCACATCTGCAACAATGATAGAGTGTTATGGAACAAAGTATGAATCTTTATGAACCGTTAGAATTCAAGGTATACCAATGTGCCTAATATATACATCGTGATTCCATAACAAACAACAAAGACTAGATTGCATTATGTCCGGGTATACCATGTGTTCAAATTAGAGAAAGTCATACGAATAGCTATTTATTAGAATACATATCCATGTGCACAGAAGTTTATTTTGTACATTTCTTGAGTTCAGCAACTAGTGCGAAGAACATTGGAAAGCAAATAAAACAAATCAACGAAAGTTTCGTTGAATATGGGAAAACCGAATATCCATTGGCCATCTCACGGCAAGTTGACAGTCCTGTTCAGCGGACGAGAAGCAGTGACTACAGTCGGGTTTAGGGCTTTGGGCCAGCAAATTCACGTTGCAGGATCTTGTGGGCAATGTGCAATACCTTTTCAGTTGAGGAGGAATTTTGATTCAGGACGAGACTAGCGAACCCGTGGACGCAGGGACTCTATGGAGGATATTCCGCGCGAGGATGTTCAGACGAAGTCTCATGGTGATAACGTCATACGAGAAATTGATGTTGAGGAGAAAAGCTCAATGGAAGTAGACGAGATAAGGGTAGGGGCTGGGGCTGCCGTTGCTGACGAAGCTGCTCAAATACCAATTCCCCTTGATCTTTACCCTGCCGCTCATGAACTACCACCTCGTCCTCCTCCCGCCAACGAATGCAACTACTCGCACTTTTACGCAATTGGTATACGATCTATTGATTTTCGGTCTTGAATTTTGCGTGAATTTCTCTGAACTTGCTCGCTTGGGTTTATTCCTTTGATCAGGTAACTGAATTTGAAGTCCTTCTGCTCTGTTGTCCAGGTTGTAGTTCTATGGAGTTTGGTGGTATGTTGATGCGGCTGGTTTGACGAAATATAGGCGTATTTGATGGCCTCATGCAGATGTTGGTAAGGAATACCATGACCAGTACGTTTTCAGACATCACAATGGGTATGTTTCTTCAACCATCAGATAAGCAATTTTTTTCGACTTTGGCCCGTGTTTTGCGATTCGGTTCATATGATCTTGAACGGATTGGTATATAAAGACTGATAATCATCACGGAGAATAGTTAGTCTTCAGTTTTTTCCTGAATGTTCTGATCTTCCATGCAAGAGGTTGTGATACCGTTGGGACACAAAAAAGTGGAATATCCAATATCACGCTGATTTTCCTCTCTGCACCATCATGACAGACTTTGCGTCATAGGGCTGGCATCAACTCATGCGGCGTTTATGATAGATACTGAACTTACTGGTGTTGATTACAATGTCGGTAAAACCAGTCGAGCAGAGATCAAAGCGGTGGGGAAGCGAAAGAAGGTGGGACTTTGTAATTGCCTTTTGCATCTTACATTATTGTACTTGTTTGAATTGCTTCATCTGCAGAAGTCTTAGATCGAACCATCAAATAGGTACGTACGGGCAAGTTTGTTCTGTGTGTGACAAATCTTCACATTTAGTTTGGGACAGGGACAATCATTGCCTTTTTTATTCTCACTACGTGGAAAAACTCATCTGTGATGTCAATTGTGTTTACAAAATTTTGAGGAAGCTTGACTGTTAGCAACCCTCGGACAAGGCTTGGGCTCTATGGTCTTCAGAGTACTACAGGTAGATAACAATGTTACAATTTATGTAGCTCACACATTGCTCATGGTTGCTCAGAATGCCCAAGTACTTGAGAGTAACTCAGTTCTTTGCAAAGTCTTGGCTGGAGAGACTTTCTTTCTTATCAGGTACATATGGTTCTTTTGTAGTTATGGTTCAGCTCTGTATATGCTGCGGAATACCAGGCCCCGATGATTGTTTCAATTTTGTTCTTGGTAGTAAGTCACGAACTGAATCTGCTCCCTTTAGTGTAACTGCTATTCGGAGTTGTTGCTTCTTGTTTTATTCTTTTCCAGTTTCACAACTGACCATCTAACAGATGCTGTGTCAGAGGTACACTACTGGAGGTGAATAATCGGCTCATAAAAGAATCTCATCTGATTTCTCAACGGGTATCTATTTCTCACCAGCAGATTCCTGTTTAAATCGTAACTTGTTCCTGCTTTTTTAAATGAAAACAGTGTAACTGTATACTTTCCGAGGGTGTTACCCTCTTTACCTCACCTTTTCTAGGCTTTTCCTTCGACAATATTTTTAGCCTCGTCAAAGCAACTTGTTTGTAGATGATTTGTTCTGAATGTCTTGATAACTACACTACCTAGAAGCTTGACGTGCTTGTATAAAGCCTCAGAGTTTCCAAATTCAAAGATTGTGATTTGGGTATGTATCTAGAATGTAGTTTGATGAGACACTTCGCATCGGCTGTTACGGTATCTGTGATGACAGCCAGATACGGAGGGTTACATTGCGATCATGATGCCTCGACCTGAGGATTGGAAAAAAGCTCAAGCGTCGCTTTTGACTAAGGATCAGTACAGAGAGCGACGAGGAATCTTATGTTCTTGAATTGAACCCATCTAATTTTGATCTCACAGAGCCAATTTTCTAGGACTATACGCGGATCGATATTTGTTATCTATGTCAATTGCTATTTAGAATTTCCTTCTCCCTGTCATCCAGCATTTGTTCAGTTTAGTAATCAATCTTGCAGAACATGCGCAAGGCATCGTTTTTCTGAAGCTAAGTCTTTACTACTTCTATTTGATGAATTTTCCAGTATCCTTAGCCACATAATGAGCTAGTTAGCTGTGTACCACCCGGTGGACCCAGATGGAGGGAGTTGTGGGTATAGAATACGATTTCTCTTTTTGATATAAGTCGTTGGATGTTGATCCACGCGCTTTCACACCCTTACACTGATAAACTCATTCATGTTTGAGAGATCAAATTTCAGAAAATGTTTTATTCTATTTTGTGAGAATGTTAACATTCTATGTTGGACCTGCTAGTAAGACCTGAATGCCTACATTAGTGGGTTTTGGTATTCATGGAGACAGGTGGTCAAACAAGTTTATGGTCCTAAAAAAACTGTTAAGGGTGCATGGGTTTGTCCAATATATATGTGGATTGCAAGCTGCTGAGATCAACTCGTTTTCAAAATATGTTTATAGGAGTGCAATTAGATACATGAGTGATTTTACGAAAATAGTACTTTGCTTCAATATAGAGATGTGAAAAGATTGTTTTAATCCTCATGAGAACATTTTGTAGAAATTGGTACAATCCTACTATTTCGGTCAGAAAGTTATCTTAATTTATGTATCAAAAAAATTAATATTTCTTTGGAAAATAAAATTATTGTAAGGGAGATACAAAACAGTGAATCATTAAGTAGACTCGAAAAAGAAAATTGAAGTCGAAAAGAGGTAAAATCTTTTCAAGAGTTAACTTAACTTAAATAAATTTGAGTGCCAATAAAGTGGATTTCTTATGGCAAATGATGAACGTATAACCCTTCTATTTAATTCAACATAAATATTCATGTTTTGAACTACAAAAATTCACAAGAGTCGGGATCTTCACGAAGGGAATCTTCAGATCAGAAACAAATATCATATTGCCATTAAGTCCGAAATAAAATACGAGGACCACGGCAATTAAAATTGTTCTAGATTATGTACAAACAACATCCACTACAATATACAAAAACATTGAATTCAAACATCATGACTCTATGTCATATTACTTGTATACATATGATTCATTCAAACTTGAACTTGGTAAGTTTTCATGATGGTTAAAAAATATCTTTTAATGTGCGAAACTGAGATAAAGTTTTCTATGTTTAGCTCAATATAACCTTCATTGATACTCCGTGATATGTAATTGGTCACTCTGTGAATCTTTGATATCTATATACTCTGCAATGATAAATAACTCATTCCCAAAAAAAGTGAGCATTTTTGCATTGGAAAAAAGTGGAGAAGAATTGTTTTGAAGAATTGTTTTTTTATTCCTATTATTGTTACGATATAAAGTTATATTTGTTGATACACAACATAACTTCAAATCCTTATTTTCTTATTTTTGATTTTTTTCTCTCTCCTCTTTTCCATGAATGATCATGAAAGCATAACAATTACTCTTCTAAAAGATAATGATTGTATCTTGATTGATTAACTTGAAGTTTCCAAATTTCTTTTTTAATAGTATTTGATAGACAACAAGTGGAGGAATTATAGTAAAGGTTTCTATGCATATATTATGCAAAATTTTAAAAATTACTACTATTTAACTATGTGGAGCTATGGAATCAAATGTGGACATTTATGAAAGTGCAAGAGTGATTACACTACTAGGCAATATCATATCAACAAAAATTCAAGAATTATCGCTCTAGATAGTATATTATAATGGTTATTTGAGACAATGGATATCTTTTGTCTAAAATTAATATTAATGAATCTAATTATTTCAAATTTCCGTTGCAATCTTATTCGATCTAGTTCCATCCTACTCTGCGAAGTATTTGATGGGGGAGTTCCCCTCTGTTACTTGAGTTTTCTCACGATCTTTTCATTCCGTTCAAGATTCTATGCCATAAAAACTTGTTCGCGCCGTAATCACCAGCACATCTGTCTTACACTACTCCTAGGATTGTTCATAAATACATCAGTATTGAAGGAAGGCAAATTCACCCTTGTCAATAGCTGGTTGTATTTCAAGAACCCATGCAAATGTGTTTACATCAAACGTTGTACTCCGAAATTTAATGTTCACTTTCTGTAGCAAATTTCTCTGGAGACTTGACTTCCCGTAAACTAGATCAGCTGAGATGGGACAACTACAAAAAGTTTGTTTCTTATCATTTTCTGATTCTTGCTTTAGATCTGCATTCGATGGAATACTTGCCTTGAAAAGAGTATGTCATAAGAGTAAATGTGTGCATCAACGTGCAGCCAGTGAGTGAGTGGGGGTGAGGTGAGACATCCAATTTGGATCCTAGATCCTTGTGTGGGGAGTCCCCACTGGGGACGCAACCTTTGGTGAGGTCAAATTGTAGATTGGACCAAACAGCATACCATGCTGTCCAGCACTTTGGACCTCTTGATTCAAATCTCCGATCTCAGCGGCACGGCTGTCAGCGGGTTCCAAAACTCTCTCTTGCTTACATATGCCCCTGATCAAAAGCTCTGTTAATCTAATCCATTCCTCCTCCTCTCTTCCTGGATTAGTCTGCAATGTCTAGGCCTGGGTGGCCAGAGGTCTGATTACCATTCCCGCATCCTCCTTCCTGCCGCATATTATTTCCAATAAACTGATATCAGTTTCAGACGATCCCCAAAGAAAGCTTCTGCATCATCCCTCCGAGTTTGAAATTACTTCCGTGGATATCTAGATCCGATCCACTGTACGTCTATTTTTGTGTATAAAAAAGTAATCCATATTCTAAATCGAATCAAGTAAGTCTGGGTTTCACACGGGGGCTTGTATGGGACGTTTTTAGCAAGAATTGTGGATTCTATAAAAACCCGTGCTCCACGATGTTCCACATCACGGTTTCTGCGTTGTTCTCATGATTTCTCGTTTTCAGATCTTTACCTGAGCAGCCAACATGGTTCTCTTTGAGCTACCGTGTTCGTTCATCTACAAGCAACATCGAAGACATGAGGCCTGTTTCGATGTCTTTCACCTCGTCTTGTAAACCAGGTGAAGGTTTCCCAATCCATCAGAACAATTACCCAAACGCGTTTCTGTGAGTGTACGTATTTGTGACGGGCTCTTCCAAATTGCTGAGTTTTATTAGCTTGTTCTCGTATAAAAATAGTAGTACTTTTAATCATTATTTCACAGGGTGTCCCAGCGAGTCTCTCATTCGGGGTTTATTTAGAAGGAGAGGAGAATGTCAGAAGTCGAGCGAGAGATGCAATTTGATTGATGCATCAATGGAGAGATCGAACGAATCGCAGCCAAGGCCCGACTAGCCCACAAACATGGTAAGTTACGGCTGGAAACGGTCGGCATGTCGCCATCCATCAAGCAAAGACAAACGCTGGGACACTTGGGGGTGCATGTTTCGAGAGTGGCGCTCTTGCTCCCGAATCATGAAGCGCCTGCCCCTCCCATTGCGGTGCTGGAGCAGCGGAGCAAGGGAGCCCAATGTGTGTGCATACTGCACACCGGGGCGGTCGCAGCCATCGTGCAGCAGATTGGCTCCTCGGAAAAGCCCGATCCTTGTGGAGGCCGGGCGTTGAAAATGCTCATCCTGTTCCCATGTACGGTACGGGATCATGTAATCGCGGGAGAAGGCTGTTCCCGGAAAGCACAGTCCCCAGGCAGGACCGACGACGACGACCACGACGACGTGGTGCTGCATTTAGCGCTGCACAGTCGGAGTTCAAGTCGTCGAGCCAGGCGCTCGGCCGAAACGATCGACATGGCAGGCCGCAGAGGACACAGTCAGCGCGATGGCAGGCTTTTTCTTAGCTGGCATGGCCTCCATCCGCTCCGTCAGCGTGTGTCTGATGGATCATCCGCCGCCGTCGGGCTTGGAATTGCCAGCCAACTCGGCACTCCAGCCGTTACTTGCTCCTGGCCTCATTGCCTGCCTGGCTCCGGCCCGACGATTCCTGGTTTTCTTCGCCCTCCTCAAAACAATTTGGGAATCTATGGTTTGGTCTATTTTCCGCCCATTCTCGCCGATCCTCCTTCGCCAATTCTCTACCTCGCAATCTCGGTCTGCTTCTGAGACAGGGACCGCGAGAGAGCGAGCGAGAACGAGAACGAGAGCGAGAGATGCGACTGCTCAATTACCGACAGACTGACGAATGCAGGATCGTTTGTCGCTGACCGATTGATTAGACGCAGACAGTAGCAGCAATGGGAGGGTCCCCGAGCTCAGGACAGGCGATCGATGGGAAATGCGGCGAACGATTGCCCCGGAATGTCTATCGTTTGCAGAGATTGTTTCTGGAGTTTTGACGCGGCCGAGCTTCGGTTGTGCGCGGGCACGTACGCACTTCAGGAGCTGAACGGAGGGAGCTTCGAGGTGTAGAAAGGAGTGGGGACAGGGGCGGGGCTTAGAGCAGCAGGGCGGAGCAGCTCACATGGGAATGAAGGGAGGCCGCTGCAGCAGCCATAGAGGAGGGTCAGCAAGCAGGTGGTTAGTAGGGGTAGTGTGTTTGCTGCTTTCCAGTGTACAGATTCAGCCTTCGAGGGCGCAAGCGAATTCGGCGAATGCGATCGAGGAGCAGGCGCTGCAGCAGTTCAAAGCGGAGAACGGAATCAATTCCAATGCCATGCGAAGCTGGCAAGTAGGTCCCGGAGTGAACCACTGCACCGCGTGGAAGGGGGTGAATTGCTGGAGCACGGGGAGCGTGCGATGGCTGCGCTTGCCCGCGGCCGGCCTGTCGGGCGTGATGTCCATGGCTCTGGGCGGCCTGCCGCGGCTGAGCCGCTTGAATCTGCGGGACAACGCTCTGACGGGCGCCATCCCCCCGAGCCTCGTGGTGATGACGAGCCTGAAGAAGCTCACGCTGCAGGGAAATCAGCTCTCGGGCCCCATTCCCGATTTTCTGAGAAACTTCACCAATCTCGACGAGCTCGGCCTGGCCAACAATATGTTCCAGGGCCCGTTCCCGACCAACATGTTCGCCACCATGCGGGAATTGCAGATTGTGGACATGGGCAACAATCGAATCACGGGTCAGATTCCCGACAACCTCGTCGACATTCCGACGTTGCAGTCGCTCTCGCTGAGGGCCAATAACCTCTCGGGGCCCATCTCGCCATTGCTGGCTTCGTCGCCGTCTCTCGTGACAGTGGATCTGTCGCAAAACTCTTTGGTCGGCCCGCTGCCATCGGTCTGGACCGTGTCCAACCTCACGTTCCTCGACCTCTCGTCCAACTTCCTGCAGGGCGAGATCCCTCCGTCGCTCCTGAGCTTGGGCAACCTCACCTTGAACCTCGCGGGCAATAACTTCTCGGGCAAAATCAGCCAATCCGTGGCATGCAGCTTCGGCAACGCTGCATTCAAGAACAATCCGTTCCTCGTGGTCGACCTGTGCGCGTCGCCTTCGGCCGCCCCTGCCTTGATGCCCCGGGCCTCGGACGACTCCGCGGCCGCGGCTCCTGCCCCGACCAAGAAGAAAAGCTCGAGCTCGCTGAGCACTCTAACCATCGTCGCGCTGACAGCCGGCGACATTGCGCTGCTGCTCATGTCGGCCGCGGGATTCACCTTCTTCTACATGTGGTGGAAGAAGCGCGCGAAGAACGCCAAGTTCGACGGAGGCAAAGACGCCTGGTCCAAGGAGGAGAAGTCCTCGAGCTCCACCTTGAGATCGGTCTACGGGAAAGAGCTGGGCCAAGCTGCCGATCCGCACCGACCCACGTACCTGGTGGCGGCCCCGGCTCTGAGACCCGCGCTCAAGGCGTGCTCGGGATCGATGGCCGACCCCGCCAAGACCAGCACCGAGTACCTGGTGGCCTCGGATCCGGACGCGATGGGCGCCTGCGCCGAGAAGGATTCGGCCGTCAGCTGTGAGGAGTTCGGCACAGATCTCGTCATCCTCGACAAGTTCCTCGTGCTCGAAATCGAGGAGCTGCTGCGGGCGAACGCCATGGTCCTGGGGGCCGGAACCTTCGGCGGCGTCTACATGGCCGTCATGGAAGACGGGCACATGCTCGCCATCAAGCGGCTCGAGGAGCAGGCGCTCAAGAACGAGCACGTCTTCGCCCGGCAGATCCGAAAGCTCGCCGACGTCAAGCATCCCAACCTCCTGCCCATCCGCGCCTACTGCTGGTCTCCCACCGAGCGATTGGTCATCTGCGACTACATGCCCAATGGAAGTCTCTTCAGCCTCCTGCACGGTACGTGTACGCTCGAGAGAGAGAGAGAGAGAGAGAGAGAGAGAGATTGTCTCATGAAGACAATCAATAAGCTTTACTGCATGAGCAGATCCTTCTGTTAAGGTAATGTTTCTTGTCTCGTAGGCAGGCTCACCGCAATCGGTGAAGAGAACAGCCAGGTTCTTACAGTCTAGTAGCGTGATTTTTGTCTAATCTGCACAATTGCGAGCAATTCGGTAATCGGCTGCATATTGGAGCATGAATCACGTGTTATTCCGCTTCGGTCCTCGAGTCGCGGCTTTCTGACGAGCGACGCTGGTGTTGGTGTGTGTGTGTTTTTCGTGCAGGCGATAAGGAGCAGAGGCCGGCGATCTTGAGCTGGGCGACGAGGCATAAGATCGCGCTGGAGACTGCGAGGGCGCTGGCGTACTTGCACGACAACGACATGGTGCACGGGAATGTGAAGGCCACGAACGTGCTGCTGGACGACAAGTTCGAAGTTCGAGTGGGGGATTTCGGCCTCGAGTCGCTGCTCGAGGCGCCGCTGCAGCACACGTCGAGCGCCGGCTACTTGGCGCCCGAGCTCATGACCAGCTCTCGGCGCAAGTCCGCCAAGGGCGACGTGTACAGCTTCGGCGTGCTCTTGCTCGAGTTGCTCACGGGGCTGGAGCCTCTCGGGAAGAACAATATGGATCTGTCGACCTGGGTTCAGGAGATGGTGAAATCGCACCGAACCGAGGACGTGTTCGATCCCTCGCTGGTGTCGTCTCATGTTCTTCCGGCGCAAGACGTTTTGGAGCTTTTGGATCTGGCCCAGGCGTGCGTGGCCGAGCAGCCCAACCGACGACCGACCATCGAAGCTGTGCTGAGAAGCTTAGAGACGATCGTGCCGAGCGGAGGATTCCTGCCGGATCCTGCCGTTTTGCCACAACAGATGGGCCACGATCTGTCGGTCGAGCATGGGTATGACTATGGGCACGAATACGTCGCCAACATTCACATGCACACTCGAGGTCCACGGGGAGCCGTGGACTCATTGGATCTGAGCCCTGCTCACAATCACGGGGGCTACTATTCTGATGCCAGTTCTTCATCGATCTCTCCGCTGCAGGCTGGGTTTCCGAGCTCATCCGGCCGGGCTTACGATTGATCCGATGCGAGATCGTTGTAAAGTGTTCCGTCTGACTTGCACACCTCACTCACATCGACCTGCCTAGAGAGAAGTCTTCTCGCAAGGCTTGGCTGATTGCTCTCGAAAGCGAGTCCTTGACGATGATGTCGATGGTACTCACACACATAAGGAGGCTCTCCAACTCGAGCATTTCAGAGTCTGCTCTCCTTGAGTCGGCATTATCGAGCCATAGAGAGAGAGAGAGAGAGAGAGAGAGAGAGTCTTCACGTCACGAAATGCGGCACGGTACGTAGAACGAAGGCCATGCTGATCTGGGTTGGGGTGACGAATTCTTGACCAGTTCACTTGACCGACCGCTCGAGCATTGAAGCCTCGATGGGGTCATTATGAGTCATTCTGGTCACCTCTGCTTCTGCTGCCGATGCGAAATTTAATCTCACGGGTTCGTAGATTGTCAAGTTAGAAACCCCTCTTTAACATCACCCCACAAATATGTAGGCCAGGACTTTTTCCTACTGAAATTCTTTGTTATAAGGCCCTTTCAACATCAAGACGAAGTGTAAGGCCCTCTAGAGCTCCACAATCCGTCAACTGGATTCGACTGATTAATGAAGCTCGCTCACAATCACATACAATTATTCAAGCAAGTTCTGCCCGTCTTTGCTTGCAAGAAGTTTACTATGTATCTTTGCTTGGTTGATGGGGGAGAATACTTACTTCACAACTATTTATTGTAATAACACCTATATGACTCGTGTGGTGCTTTTGATCTTTAAAACAAAATGCAACTCTTTTAGAACACACATTTTGAAGGCTGAATAATACTTCTACTGGCTCAAGGAAACCATTGGTAGTTTAATTGAAAAGTTCATCTGACTTACATAGGCTCTTGTACATGGCGAACTGATCGTGAACTTCACTCCACATGCAAGAGTAGATTATAAGATTCCATTTGCTACTATTGCACCACAATACAGAAGTCATGATGAGTATACACCACATTCGCTAGACATCACAATATGCATCTATGTGCCATAAAATATCACAATACTTTTCCCAAAGTACTCTAACATAAATGTATCACCATTTCACATTCAAGAATGCATCCAGTACATAAAATGATGCGGTCTTTGTGAGACTAAAGTCATGATTCCATATACAAATATTCATCATGTTTTTAACCTCGGATTTTTTACCATGACATGTGATAATCAAACCAACTTGCATTTGGTCTCTCACAAAAAATTAGTAAAAGAAAATGACATCTTTTATGTCAAAGTACCTTGATATGAAAAATCTGTAGGTTTAATATTTTATTGGAGGTTAGTGCTGTAAACAAAAATGCTGAAGTTTGGATTAGTCGAGAAAGTTCATAAGGATGAATTTCAAAAGATTTTAGCTTAGTGCACATAAAACATGATAGAAGGTTCAAAAGTTTTCAAATTGAAATAAAACGATATTGATTTATAGAACAACTGATTGCATAAAACTTTGTAGTTGTTCTTTGAAAACTTTTTGTGATCAAAATTTTGATTTTTCCACTACATTACTTTTATGTTCGTAGTAAATTGCTTTGGTTGATAGATTTTTGTGTCAAATGTTAGACTTTTTGAATATTCATTATTTGGACTATTTTTCTCCTGTAGAATTTGAACCTTTTTAGCATATTTTTTGTTTTAGATTTGACATTATATATTTTAATATATAAATCATTTTTCAACATATTAATAAAATTTGAAATTTAGATGCATTAATGTATTCTTGCAACTACACTTGAAGTTGCAAATACATTCTTGCGGTCCTGCAATTAAATCTCAATTATAAAAGAAAATATCATTTATTATATTTTTAGAATAAAGAATGCTTATTTAAAAACAACTGGAGATAGAACTATTAATTTTTAGACTTATAAGATATCAATTTGCATTTATATCATAAATTGAGATTTATCTTATCATTAAAATTATATTTTAAAATCATGAAAATAAAATATGCAAAAATTACATAAGATTATAATAAAAATGTTAATCAGTAACATTTTGAACTCGTGCTAAAATAAATTTTTAATCGTGAAGACTCGTGATCTTCAAATGAAACATTTTGTTACAGTGAAAAAAATTTGAATTTGAATGGACCAAGTTTATAGTAAACACAGGTTACATGTAGAGGGAGTAGTATATATTGATAAAAAAAATGCAGCACTGATTATGTACCTTAAGAATGAACGAACTTGTAAATGATCATACATGTTTGAAAAACATTTCCTGATAAAGTGTGTTAACATGATGATCATAAACATGAAAAAAGATTGAATTTAATTTTTTCAAAATGTTTGTAGATTGAATAACATGAAATTTAAATTTCACTAAGTAGTTTATATACTGTCACTAAATGCCCTTTCTAAAAAAAATTATTTGTTAGTTGTATAAATAATAAGTCAGCTTTTGATTTTTTTTCATGAATGAGTTGATCACAACATTCACATATAATTTCATGAGCAAATGAAATAATTAAATTTATTATGAGAAATATATCTTTTGGAAATTTTATTTCATAAATATGTAGAACATATATTTTCAATTGAATTTAAAAATTTAATATAAGTTTTGATCCATTCTACTTAATCTATAATTAAGTAATTAAAAAATAGGGGAATGTTAAAACGAGCCCATCTAATGTTAAAACGACCATAGACGCGTCACCTGTCACGACCACAAGCGCGTCACACTTCTTCCAAGATGAATCATCAACCCAGTTTGATACTTTGCAGTTTGAAATAGTTTAAGGAGTATAATCTTCTCAATTTCAGGCTTCAGGTAGCGCTTCACAAATGCAGAAGTGTCCACTTTGTGGTCAAACTGGACACAATGCACGAACATGTGCTCAACGTATTGTTTTCTCGCAAGAATCCCTGCAATAGTTGCAGTTAGTAGTTATTAGTCATTGTTCTTGAATTGTGTGCCTAGGAGTATCATGTTTGATTGTATTTTCCGCATATATGCACAAGTATGTAACAAAAACACGCTTGTAAATGATACTTGACTTGAGTGTGCAAAAATTTATTTTTGACATGTGACGTGTCTCTGGTCGTTTTAACATTCCCCAAACAATATTGAAAAATTAAAAGATGTTAGGAGTAATTTTCTATATTATACAATCTTAAATTTACAAAAAAATGTTATTGACACTTTCTTCATAATATAGAATTTGATCATAAATGATGACATATTTGAGATTATATGAAGACGATATGCATACAATCATATGTCTTCGCATGTAATATTGATCATCCTTGTGATGCTTTAGTTCAAGAGTTAGAACATGAATTCACATCTTTGTCTTCATTCCTCATGGGTAGAATACCATGTGTTTAAACGAGAGTCATTGTCCACACGAGCCGCGTTTGGAGCAAGATGCATACTGGCCTTGATCGTAACATTCTCTTGAGCAAGTTCAGCTGCTGCACGTTAATATTCTCCATCGTCTACGCAAACCAAAGTAGTGTCAGGGTCCCAGGTGTTCGAAATCTCAGCGCTTCAGTCGATGCTTGTGAAGCCTGAAACATTTACGTACCCATAAGATTTTCATCGAGGAATAACACGTGATCCATGCTCCAATATGCAGCCGATTACCGAATTGCTCGCAATTGTGCAGATTAGACGAAAATCAGGCTACTGGACTGTAAGAACCTGGCTGTTCTCTTCACCGATTGCGTTGAGCCTGCCTACGAGACAAGAAACATAACCTTAACAGAAGAATCTGCTCATGCAGTAAAGCTTATTGATTGTCTTCATGAGACTTGATTGCATATGGTTCCTTCCTGAGCTCAAATGGACCTTCAAGTAGCTGCAACAAAATAAAACCTTTTCTTGGCACTAAGACTTTAGTACGAAAATCATTCAGACTTCAACACGTCCCATTGCAATGCATTATTTACATTCAGCGATCCACCATCATCTAGTATCCTTACCTGCAGGTTCTGGACTTTGAGACGAGACCCTAAACGTCCCCTGACTCACCTCCTGCAACCAAAAAGCGTTGGCAGACCTCGTCTCCAAAGTCTCCAAAGAATCAACTACCGATATGATCAGAATGGGATTCATGCTCCACTGCACGTGAGACAGAGACCAGTTAGCATGTTCAGTGTAAGGTCAAACGATGAACCAGTTGATCCATTTTTCTTCGTTTGTAGTCCACACTGTGGACTACAGTCATATGTCGTATGACTGTGGACTGTCACATACGAAAATATGACCATGAAGAGTATCAACCACCTCATACTCCACAGATGTATCTCCACAGTCATACGACAATATGACCATGGAGAGTATCAACCACCTCCACTAAGTTGAGGCGAAAAATGCCATCTACTCGATATCCGAGAAACATAATGTATTTGATAGACCTGCAGCTCAAGGGTGATTCAACAGCACAATACTGTATAACAGAGTTCAAATTGATTTCATACACGAGAAAATTCATGGATCCCCAAGATCTCTTAGTACCGTAACCTCTATGTTTACAAACGCGACTGTATACCTGTTACATTGCCTCTGTGCTTACTAACCTAACTGTATACCTCATGTATACATGTTACGGAGATTATTAACTTTCCAAAAGACTACTAAGTCTCAACCCTCTGCGCTACTCCTCTGCAGAAAGAGAAAACAGGCTGCGGTTATAAACTAAACGGGCCAAGGTACACGACAAGCTTAAAGCAGCTTACTCACTTACCACATAAAACAAAGAGAAAACAAACATGTCACATGGTGTCACAAGAGTGACACGGAAGAGGCATAAGGTCATAAAGAAGGCCACTTCCTGATCTGTGTGTTGACAAGATGCAACCACCCAGAACTAAACTAAAATAAGCTCAGGTTTTAACTGACAAATCTTTCCCTAAACCCTGAGTACTTACTGAATTCTGACAACACCAATCTTGGTTTGAAGTTTGTGAACTTTGACACATTCAAGCGGTTTCGTCAGAATGTCAGCAAGTTAGCCATCTGTGCTGATAAACTCTACGTCAATATGTCCATCTTCAACACATTTCTGATAAAAATGAAACCTTGTGTCAATATGCTTGTTGTGATTGTGGAAGACACCAATCTTGGTTTGAAGTTTGTGAACTTTGACACATTCAAGCGGTTTCGTCAGAATGTCAGCAAGTTAGCCATCTGTGCTGATAAACTCTACGTCAATATGTCCATCTTCAACACATTTCTGAATAAAATGAAACCTTGTGTCAATATGCTTGTTGTGATTGTGGAAGACGGGATTTTTGCTGAGAGAGATTGCAGACTTGTTGTTCACTCTGAGTACAATGCACTCTGCCTCCTTGTTTCGCAACTCACCAAGTACCCGAGCTAACCAAACGCCCTAGCAGGCCGCTGTTGCCGCGGCAATGTACACCGCTTTGCATGAGGAAAGTCTGACGACCTTCTGCTTGTGCGACTGCCAACTGATAATGCTCTTGCCGAGGAAAAAGAGCACGTTGGTAGTGCTCTTGCGGGTGTCGATATCGCCCGCCATATCACTATCGCTATACCCAACCAGCGCAACGTTGACATTTTTCCTCCCATACTGGCACCCATAATGCTGCGTTCTAGCAATATACCAGAGGATGTGCTTCACGGCAGCTAGGTGCTCGGTGGTAGAAGCCTCCATGAAACGGCTCAAGTACCCCACTGAGTACGCAATGTCAAGCCGTGTATGCACAAGATATCGGAGACTGCCGACGATGCTCCAATATGTTGTTGCGTCCGTCGTGGAC